GCAACATTTTTTTGTGTAATATGGCAAACCTAATTTGAACAGTAGGAATGTGAGACAATAGTTTATAGTATGGGTGTGTGCATCCTGAAGCAAAGAACACATACAAAAAACATTTCATTTGCCCAGTCATACTCCTGGGGCGAAAGGATTGGCTTTGGAATGTTGACTGTGTGTGCAGGTGATGTGATGTGAAGAAAAGGATTGATGGCTCTCGGTGAAAAGAATTGCATGGTCTTGAAAGACAATGAAGATCAAAACCAGAGGCCAGCAAATCTTAGAGAAAACATCCTTAAAATGTTCTATAGCTAGGATTACACACCTGTAAGATTAGCAAAATTATCAGAGGGTAACAGCAATATATGCTGGAAGTGCAAAAAGAATGCAGGAACTTATTATCATATGTGGTGGGCATGTGAAAAGGTCAAAAATTACTGGACACAGGTATGGGATGTAGCAAAAGAAATTACCCAGCAGACATTAGATATAAAACCTGAAATGGCATTATTGAATATCATATCAGGTATTAAGGATAATAAATTGAAGCACTGTATTGTCTTATATATATACTCACAGCAGCTAGACTACTCTGGGCCCAAAAGTGGAAAACCGAAGAGGTTCCAACGATAGAAGAGCTATTAAAGAAGTTATGGGACATAGCAGAGCTGGACACTCTATCAGAAGCACTACGGGAACAACCAAGAGACTATGTAAAACAAAGCTGGGAACTAATATATTCTTGGGCCCAGAAGAAGACAGGAGTGTAGGGCAAAGTTTATGATGTATCTATATCTACTTAGCACATACGGGAAATGAAATTGGGGGGAGCAGATGGGTTAACAAAGCTGGAGTCTCAGACTCCAAAGGGGGGTGGGGTTAGTTTTAGGGGTTAGGTCTTTTTCCTTTTTTTTCCTTTTCTTTTTTTCTTGTCTCTATTTGTCTTGCTTTCATTTCTGTGTGAATAAAAAAAAATCCTTAAAAAAGAGATCAAAACCAGAGGAAAGATAAACTAGGAAAATCAGTTTGCTGAGAGGAAGAAGAATATCTGGGAACAGAATTGGTTGTTATGGAGAAACAGGGCAGAGTGTGCTGAATATCACAACTTGTGTCCAATTGTCAGATGGACATTTAACTAACAGATGAAACTATATCTATCTATGTATCTATTCCACCAAATTCTTTCAGCCTGAAAACAGTAGACTCGGGATAGTTTCATACATATATCTGAGGGGGAAGACGGAGAAAGCCGTTGGCTCTGAAGCAACTAGTCTGTGTATTCATGTTTGCAGGTGTTTTTTCTCCTGATTTGTTTATTTTTCTCTGATCACCATTGTGCCTGTTGTTTATTAATTGTTCACAACTCGTGATTGCTGAAACAATTTAGAGCTGAGTTTGTGATGCAAAAGCACAGTGCAGAGGCTTTAAAATAATAATTTCTGATGGTATTTTTTGGCCTGTTAAAATAACTATTGAGACATAATAAGAGATACATGGCCTATTTGTTATTCATTTGTAACTGGGAGGCTTTTTTTCATTGCTGACTGTAGCATTCCGTTCATTTGCCAGTAAGGCCAGTTTTTCAGTTCTGTTTTTAAGGTCTTAGACTTACACATGTACATTTTATTAAAACAAACAGAAAAGTTAACAAAGATAAGCCTATGGGTTTAAGAAGAGCAGGGGAGGTGGATCGCTAGATCAGACAATAATAATTAATGTCAACATCAGACCTCTTTTATGTTTTCCAATTAAATGAAATGCATTAAATTTTTCCTGTGATTAAATATATTCAATATTTGCTCTTAATACATATTAAATTAAACTTTATAGTTTTGTACATCCTCTATTTCTCCTCCCACTACTTTTTCCTATAATATGGTGGATTCCAGATTAAAACTATATTAATTATTTTAGTTTAGTACATGACTAAAAACAATAGATTTCACTTGCAGAAGTCACACAATTAAAAACAATAAGTTTAATTGCGCTGTTAGGTTACATTTTGGGGAGAGGGGTAGACTATGCTCTTGCATAGATCACTGGTTTCACTGGTGTTTCTACAGAAGAAATTCTTGGCAACTGAAATTTTGTGAGTTTAGGATATAGTATACAAAGAACATTTAAATATATTTGAAATTAAAAGAAACATCCAGACGGGCATTTTTGAACACGCACAAATGCATTTTCTACAGAAAAAAAATTATATACTGTGAAAATGATCTCCCCATGGAAATGTGTGTGTGTGTGTGTGTGTGTGTGTGTGTGTGTGTGTGTGTGTGTCCATGTGTGTGCGTACAAATAAAGCTGGAAGTATTTGTGCATTCAGAGTGAGGACACAAGTGTTTCACTTATCTTTGCATGGCTGTAGCCCTAGTCAGGCATTTGGGTAACTGTATTTGTGGATGCAGGCATGGGTGTGCATTGTGACTCTGCCCTCTCCACCCATAGCCTTCCAGTTTGTGCTGAGAACATTTGAATGGTATAAATTTACCAAATGGGCGGGATATAAATCAAACAAAATAAATAAATTATGCTTATTATATGATTTCTGACTGATTGAGATCATATAACTGGCATGAATAGTGATCTAATCTTGGTTCTTGGGCTAGAATTTCTAGAAGCCTTCACCACTAGCTGTGCTGGCCAAGATTTCTGGAAATTGTAATCCAAGAGCATCTGGGGACCCATGGTTGAGAAGCACTGCTCTAGAAGCAATAGCAGCTAAAAAACCTGCTGCGCCTGTGAATTAAACTGGAGAGAAGGCAAAAATTCAACACGATCCTAGTGTTACTGCATTTATTTTCACTATTTTACTGTCAATATTAAAGAAGAGATCTTTGTTTCCTTCCTAATAAGACTTATTTTTGCATTCATTTTCTTAATAAGTCATGACCACCACAAAATCCAGTTTCCTTTAAGAGTTGGAGAAGAGGAGTTATGTGTAGACGGGGCAGGGAGTCAGTCTTCCAGCAAGCTGTGGGACAATGCTGTTGCTTGGTTTTGCTCCTGTGAATAGAACTTAGTATTAAAAAGTAACATGGTTTTAATGAATCAAATTCCTGATTTTATAAAGTTAAATGAAAGGTTTCCTGATCATTATTACAAAATAGTCTTGATATAGCCTAAGATTTGTAAGCTAAATCCCAGCGTACTGATAAACCCACAAATAAGTGGATAAAATTAAAAAGTAGATCAAGGTTGTTTTTTTAATGAAAGATATTATAACGATGAGTTAAAGGCAACACTTTATGGGACATTGCTAAAACATATTTAAGAGGAAAATTTATAATGGAGGAGTCAAGATTTTAAAAAAGGAGAAACAAGTTGCAAGAATAATTAGAAGCAAAAATAAAGAGGTTATCAGAAGAACATAAGAAGTCAGGTCTGAAAAAAAAATTTACTGAGTTAATAAGAACCAAAGCAGAATTAGAGGCCTTATCTATAAGTAAAACTGAAGCAGTAAGCAACTATTTAAAGAGGAACTATTATGAATATGGAAATACAAAATAATTGCTATCCTATGCAGTAGAAAGGAAGACTACTAAAAGGATCATTGTTTCTTTAAAAACAAAGGATAATATAATGATGATCCCACAACAGATGATTTTTAAGGATTACTGTGAAGAATTGTATTAATATGAAATAACATCAGATATAGATGCAGAATTTGAAAGGTCGTTATTAATTCCTCCAATCTCAGAAGTGCCTAAATATCAACTTAACTCCCCAGTAACATATACTGAAATAAAAACAGGTACTAAAAGAAATTAAAAGGAGGGAAAATGCAATATGTATTACTGATTAAAAATGCAATATGCATTACTGATGACTTTATATGAAAAGATTATGTTGCTCCCCATCTTTTAAAAATGTCTGATTCCATATTAAGTGAAGAAAAAGTACCAGAGTCCTGGAAATTAGGTCGAATAACCATCAGGCAGTAGTATGTACTGGATGCTTCTCTGATAGGTAGGAGTAGCAGATGACAGAAAAGTATGGTGGGGATATTTAGGAGAGATATTCCCTTGAGGCCACAGTGCAGAATGTGATCTTAATATTTATTCTTATGATGTTTTGTTGTTTTTGTTTATTAATACAGCCACAAGAGATAAGCCACCACGAGAGATAAGCCCAATAAATAAATAAATAAGTCGTATCTGTGATGGAAATGATCAACACATTAGAAAAATGTCTAACAATCTTAGTAGCTTGACATGCCAGGAAAGCTGCCTTGGGCTCTTTTTAAGAAGAAAGGTGGGATAAAAATATTTTAAATAAATAAACAAGTTGAATGGCATCACATAGCAGTGACAACTCTGTTTTTTTCTGTTTGCCAGACTGCAAATAGAATGTTTCTCATATTGTTCCTTTCCAGCTTTTTCAGTATAAAACTCCAAGTACTGTATGGGCAAAAGCTACAGGCATCAGGAAGAGGGCTGATGTGCAGATATGGCTGTTGGCTTTGATGCTTTCCTTTGTTCTGCTTTTAATATTACTTACATACTTTATAGGCTGCTTTTCTGCCCATAGTAGACTCTCCATAGGAGACTCAAGTCAAGTTACAATAATCTGAAAACACACTATAGGGAATGTACTAAAAATTATTAATCATGTAACAATCAATGTGTGCTTTCCTGTGATTGACTTGGAAAAAGCATTACCTACAGAGTGAGTGCTTCAAAGTCAGGTGACAGAGCAATGGTATTATGATTTTTTCCTTCTAACTACTTGCCTGTATATCACTTTTCTTTATGTAAACTATAAATAATGTTACAAAATATTTTAATATAAGCTATGTTTGCTTTTGTTTCAGACAGTCCTTCCATGCTAATTTCTACTCAAAATAGGTTGAAAAACAAAGAGTATGCCTTCTTTTGCTTGATATATGCTCATTGGTTTTTAGATATGCGTTACATTTCCACAGCAGATCAAGGTGTCTGAGAAGCAAGCATCTAACAACTGTGCATTAATTCAGGTATTCTGTTTTTTTTAAATGTTGATCCTAGAAAGGAGAGCCCTACTGCAGTGTTCTTTCACTAGAGACTACCGAGCAATTGACCTTTGAGATCCCTCTGAATGACTCAGGTTCAGCTGGACTTGGTGTGAGCTTAAAGGGCAACAAATCTCGGGAGACAGGAGCTGACCTTGGGATTTTCATCAAATCCATCATCCACGGAGGTGCTGCTTATAAGGTATGGAGTACGGGAAAGACCTGGATAACATTTTAATGAAAACACTATTTTAGTCCTTGGGTGTAAAGTATGCTAACCAACTCCCAGACTTACATCCCTAGAGTTGTGACCATGTACACAAATATGTAAGAAACCCCTATTCTGGATTGAATAGAAGGTCCGCCCACATTCTGTCTGACAAGCTAGTTCGATGCCTTATGGAGTCTCATAAGGAGACCTTGATTTCTGCCATATGTTATGGGTTCTCTTCCTAAGTGTCCTTCACCAGCAACTGCTAGCCTGGTCTGTACATATGAACTGTATATTATGCTGTTTTTTGAGGAGGCAGTTTTGCTGCCTGATGCAATTAAGCCATGCTAGGAATTACTCCAAGAAAAAAAATGATTATAAGTATAATGAGTATCCTTACCATGCTCTGTTTGTTCACATTAAGTTTTCTCTCCACTTTTCTGACTTGTCATCAAAGCCTTGGTTTTGAAAATACCAAACTTGGTCACCTCACTGCTACTCCATGGCTTCTACTGGAAGTGTTAGGAGAATGGTGGAGCAACATCTTCTGTCCTTGGAAGGGGTTTGATCCAGCAGAGGAATCTTGTTGGCAGAAGTGGAGGATGGTGATGGCCTATTGTTTTCCAAAATGGTGTCATATAATACCAGCCTATTATGGACAAAATGAATTAGCCTAAATCCAGTTCCTTGCCTCAACTGAAATAGATCCATTTAAACACCTATGTAAATTCCAGTAAATCACTGAGGTTCTCCCCCACCCCAAGACTAGGAATTGGGTTAAGATAATTGTTTTCTGTAAGTGGGTAAGGAAATGAAACTCAAGGATTGTATTTTGAGAGTGTATACTTTGTATATGAGTATTCAGAATCTTAACGAAGAAATGAGCATTACACCCCATGTTGGGAGAGCTTCTCGGACCTCTTGAGAATAGTCTGTTTAACTGAATGTTGTTTAGGCTGATTGTTGCTGACTCTCAAAAGTTTCGGATGGTCCTTTCCCAGCACCACCAGGAGATGCCAGGAAGTAAAGTTGGGAAACTTTAGGTATAAAACACATGCTGTGCTCCTAAGGCCCCAGCAGTGGGATTGACAATGCTGCCTTTTAATTTGTATCTTTTAATTTATATTACATTTTTATAAAATGATATAAGAAAGAAATACTTCCAGGAAAAACATTTCTCTATTTAATGTACTCTTAAGGAAAGACAAAAAAGGGAGCTCAAAAGAATGCATAAAATGAAAGTGTATTTTTGGCCTTAGTGGTACTGTATTTTTTTTTACCCATAGGAAAAAAAATAAGAAAAAAAAGGGGGGGGTAAATTAAAAGGTACAATATTACATTTTTATAAAATGATATAAGCAAGAAATACTTCCAGGAAAAACATTTCTCTATTTAATGTACTCTTAAGGAAAGACCAAAAAGGGAGCTCAAAAGAGTGCATAAAATGGCCTTAGTGGTATTTTTTTACCCACGGGAAAAAATAAGGAAAAAAAGGGGGGGGGATAAATTAAAAGGTATGAATAAAATGTAACATGTTTTTTTTTAAAATACTGATTGTTATAATTTTCAAAATCTACAATTTTCTGATTATGAACTGGTTACAGTTTTTTTGGCGAATGGTATAAATAATTAACTTCATTCTCAAACCAATTAATCCGTTCTGGCTGTTTTTTTGTTATGTAGAGGTGCGTTCGTACATTGAAGCATTAGTTCCCACAGGAACTAATGCAAAGCTGGTTAATACGTACTCTACCACTAGGGGGAGAATTTTTTTTTAACCTAAGATGACCTAAGGTTAAAAAAAGAGCAGGAAAGGTTTTTTTTCCCTGTTCTTATCTTGGATTTCTGTTCTCAAGTAGAAGCAAAATTTAGCAAATGGAGCTGTTCTTAAGTTGGATTGTTCTTAAGTAGGGACGTTCTTAAGTAGACACCCCACTGTATGAATAAAATGTAACATGGTTTTTTAAAAATACTAATTTGTTATAACATTCAAAATCTAGAATTTTCTCATTATGAACTGGTTACAGTTTTTTTAGGGAATGGTATAAATAATTAACTTCATTCTGTGAAACTGGAGTATGAAAAGTACCTTAGAAAATCACAGATGCTGGTAATACTCATATTTTTAGCATAGCTTGAAATTTTATGTTTTAATTAAGGGATTCACACTTTGCTTCATGTGGCAAACTCAACACAGTCTTGACTGCTAAGCCGCTGGGGCCTTTCCCTAATAATAGACTGCCATTTATCCAGTATTCTCCGTGCACTGTTTCTCTTTGTTTTCAGGGACAGCACAGCTGGACCCATAAATCAGCACAAAAACAAGGAAGGAAAACATTTCTTGGTTCTAGGAATAAACATTTGCCAAACCAGGAAGGGAAAAGAAAGTATATTCAGTTTGCACAATGAATTAAAAAACGGTTTGGCCAATTTTTTTATTGAATAATTAAAACAGTATTATGGGCAAAAGTGTATGACTTGGCAGGAGTTAGATCAGTTGCATAAAACTTAATTATTTCTGAGTGAAACAAATCAATAAAAGGAAAAGCTCCTGGGTTTTTCCATCATGTTGCAATGCAATTAATATGTTACACTTTTTTAAAAAAAATTGTAAGAACATTTGAGTATATGTAAGCATCTGAAAATTTACAAACCCTCTGCTATTGATTTAAAATTATATTCATTTTTTCCTAAATGAATGTGATTTTTTTAAAGTGATCAATTTCTCTAAAAAAAATCCCTAGAGAACACTGTTTCATTCATGTATGCCCATTTATATCTTGGCCCTCTTTTGGATATATTAATCAACTGAATGGCCTGTATAGTGGCAGTGTTACCTTATTTTCCTTTAATAATGAAACTCCATCTTGGCTATTTATATAAAAATGAAACTACTGAGTTAATATCTGAATTTCAATTGTTACTATAAATGTTTATAGTTATCATTGTTTCTTTACCCTGTGGGCTGTTTCCATCCAACCCCAAATCAAAGTGGCATTTTGGAACTGGTAGCTGATATTATAAATTCAGCTTTGCGGGTGAATGTTTTTGGACTCCAGGAGCCTGCAGCCATCATGTAACATACCAGTATTGAGTATGAGTTTTGTCCTCAATCCCTGCTGAACCATGAATCTCAGCAATTTGCCAGTATCATGTCCATAACAAAGCAGCACAACTCTTTCAACAGGAGAGCCCCTGGGATGATGCCTTCAAACAGATTTAGGTGTGTGTGCACACTCACACCTCTCAAACTCTTGGGTATGAACACACTTCTCACTCAGATGTAGTTCACTAGGCAGTGTCTAAACTGGGAGATCTCACGTTTATCCGATTTTGGGACGTGAACTTTCTAAGTCTCAAAAGGGAATGGAATCTTGTAATTCGCTCATTACTTTCTACTTGGATGAGTGTGCATGAAGGGTAGCACAAAAAAGAAGAGATTTGAAAACCGAAACCTTTTTCCAGATCTTTTTCTAAGTATTCACATAACTGGGGAGAGGTAACACAAAATCTCTGGAGGAGCAACACAGTGTTTGTCCATGGGGAAATCACTCCCCAGGTAGAAAAGGTTGTGTTATTCAGGAAACATTCTCCTCCTCTGAAATCATTCAGACCAAATATAATTATCTAACAGTCTATCTGCCCACTTATTTGTGTTTTGTGCTGCAAAGCATTGATGTCTGTTCTATGTACATCAGCTAGATATACAGGTACGTGATTTTTACAAATATATGCATTAATGTGTAAATAACCACATGAATATTCACAATTTTCTGTTGGTCTATACAGACATACTGTATATATTAGATCGTGCTTTTCAGCATCATTGTTAGAGACACTGTGATTGTAGTTAATAAACTTCATGCTGCCTTTAATAGCGGTTGTTGCTCTGACATTTTAAAAATAAAATTCAATTTATTAAAATTAGAGCAAAGAAATTATAAGCATAGCAAAGGAGAAGATAATGGATGGTCATGCAGGACAATGGATTACATAGGTTGTCTAGTTCAAAGGTGATTCAAAGGATAAAACTTGCAAGGTGTAGTTAAAGTGACCACGTTTGACTGCAGTCTAATTAGAAAAAAAATAGTTCATTTAATTCAAACATCATCTTGGTCAGTAAAGATTTCAGAATTCCATGTGATGGATGGGAGGTTCATGGGTCTGAAAATTTTTGTTTGAACATAAAATAAATGTAAACCATGTTGGGGGGGGGATGTTTTTTCCTCCCTCTCCTTAGGTTTTTTTTTAATTGGTGATGCTAGTTTTTCTACAAAGATAATGTTCCCTACTTGGTTTGTGCAACTGCATATGCATAGCCCAATCAGCTCCTTTCACCTCTGAGCAATTTCCAAATGTGCTGCACCAAACATGAATGAAAATAACATTTTACGTAACAGATTTCCATTTTCTTCTAATAATAATGTTGCTAGATCTAATTCTCCTCTTAGCTGAACATTTTTTATTGTTTGTTTTAGATAGTACATTCATTACGTTGTTTTATAAGGTAAGAATTTCTAGACAATTGTATCACTTGTAAAGGCACAAGGAAACGGTATCATCTTTATTGCTAGGTTCCTTCCAACACGTGGCATTTCTTATCACATATTGCTAACCTGTTTAGGTGCATATGCCAGCAATGTGCTACCTTTAAATTATATTCCCAGTTTTAAAATGGAGTGGGGGGGAATACAGTCACTTTTGTGGTCTTGTTCATGTGTTCTTTAAATAAATTCTATTTCTTCCCATAAATGTACAAGCTGTTGGCTGAAGTATGAACATTTAAGTGAATTGAAGTTCACTGAAACAGTAGTGGAAGCCTATTGTTGTTTGTATTAGGTTTGTTTGCTTGGTGTATCTAATTGCAACTTGTGAAAGGTTAATGGGTTGCATCTTAGTTGTGCAGTAGGGTGTATGACCAGATAGTGAGAAGCACTGCAAAACTTTATCATTTAGTCACAACTAGCTGTGACAAATGCCACAAACCTCTA